AAAAAAAAAAAAAAAAAAAAAAACATTCGAAATTATTAAAATTACATATGTCAGATTTAATGCTAACAATTATTGTGAAACTGAAGCTAAATAGTAAATATTCTTCAATCAATTTGAGTTTTTTTTATTTTATTTTTCATTTTTTAAACAGAATTCACCATGTAAGGGCATGATTGATACAAAATATTCATTTATAACTGACCAGATTATTTTTTTGAATTATGCTACTTAGCCAACTTTCATTACAACTTGGTTTACAACCAAGTGTAATGGAGGCATTAAAGAAGCATTTTTTAATGCCTCCATTACACTTGGTTGTAAACCAAGTTGTAATGGAGGTGGGCAATGTAGCATAACCCTTGTGTTCTAAAACATATCATATATGGTTTCTATTTGTAGAAAATGAAAAATTATGAATTTTGTTATTTTTCTAATATAAAATATAAATGATAATTTAATTTATATAATATGATATGTAAAATTCATTATGAATAAAAATGAGACACATGTCCCTTTTAAAAGAAAATCTTACCTCAAGCGCTTTTTTGAGAGATTGTATTATACAAAGGCCTTAGCACACCTAGCAAGTATTTGCGTTAAAAGCTCGGTTAACTCAACTTATACAATTTTTAAAATATATGAAATGCATAATAATATAATAAGCAAAAATCAAAATTCATAACAATCATATTTGCCAAAATCAAATAAAAAAAATAACAAAAGCCAACAAAATAAAACGAAAACCAAAAAGTAAAAAAAAAAAAAANNNAAAAAAAAAAAAAAGTAAAGAATTTTCAGTTTAAATAATAATAAAAATAAAAATCCCGCATAAATTATTATTATCTTCAAAGTGTCCATCTGATAATCTTAATTCTCGGGTCAACCTTGCACTTCTCCTTTGAAATTGTTGCAACCGACGTCGTTTTACCATTGGGGATCGACACCCCAATTCCATCGCAAATAACCCTAATTTTGAGCTTCTTCGTTTTGATGTTCCCAATTTTGGCTCTCACTTCCGTATCCAACCGAATTCTGATTGGTAAATTTCTTCTCCGAACGCCGGATCTCAGAGGCGAAATATCGGTTCCGGCGCTAATCGGAGTATTCGAGTTCGAAACCACCGCTCTCAAGGTCGTCACGTTCTTCTTGCCTTGCGTGAACGCCGGAAAATCTCCGCTGCCGACGTCGACGTCGCCGGAGAGCAGCCTCACCGAGATTCGCTCGAAGAGGAAGATGATCTTACTGTTATGGTTGTTCGCGAGGATGGTGACGTTGAAGGCGGAGGTTACGGCGGTGTCGGTGAGGTTGAATCTGGAGAGACGGAGGGAGGCAACGGAGAACGACGGCCGGTGGGGGCGGTAGATGACGTAGAACACGGCGCCGGCGATGGCGGCGAGCAGGAGGACGAGGAGAATCAGGAGAGTCGTCCCGAGGCAGCAGGTGCAGCAGAGGCTCCTGCCGCTGCGCCGCCTGGGCGGCGGCTGAGGCCTGTACGGCGGGCGCGTGGCCTTGTAGAGCTGCGCTTTGTTCGCCGGGAAAGCTGGATTAACTCCGCCGTTGGCGGTGGGCTTTGATGGGTACACTCTGTCGGTCATTTGTGCAGAGAGAGGAAAAAAAAAATAGTTGGCTGTGTTTAGAGTGAGAATGACAGATAAAAAAGCTTTGGAAGAATATTTGAAGAAAGAGTGAGAGAATTGAAAGGGCAACTGCTTAACCAATGCCTGCTACAGTCATATGGGCTGTTTTTAGTATAATATTAATATTAATTATTAAAATAAAATAATCATAAATTAAAAATAAATTTGATATATGACACTCCACTAAGTCAATTT